TGTATCCGGTCTGCTCCCAATGTTTCAGACCTGAAGCAACTGACGCCGACCGGCAACCGACGTACATCAAATAAACTTTATTTTTGTTACCAAACCTGAGAATACTTTACTCCACCCAGGCATTACCCCTCGGGGATAATCAAACACTCCGAGCGGGCCACTGTCGCGGGAAGAGACCCGAACGTTTGGAGCGTTTGAGTACCCCCGAGGAGTAATGCCTGAGTGGAGTAAAGTATTCTTGGTTTGATAACAATAATGGAGTTTATTCATTGACGTCCGTCGGCTGCCGATCGACGTCAGTTGATTGAGGTCTGAAAGCGAAACGATGGAAGCAGACCGGGTACAAATGATATCGTACTTAATCCTAATTGTTACGGGATCTCTACTTGATTAATACAAGATGCAAATGTCGGGTACATACTACTGGTTTACAATATGACTTATAAGTTAATGTGGTAATGATTCTAGCCCTACTGTTTGAACTCCCGAATCGGAGAGGCGACACGACGGTGCAGGTCTGGTTCGTATCGTCTCTGTATAGTAATTCGAGGTCTCGTGCTGCGAATCGGTTTTGAGAGTCTATGTGTAGGTTGGTTTTTTCCCTTCCTACGACTCTGCCTTGCTTTATTTTCCCGGGCCTCTTATAGTGCCCGGGAGGCTCGCGCGCTTACGAGAGAGCGCGGGCCGTGAGTCGCCGCGTAGCGGCCAGCGCGCACTAGTCGGCCGGCGTCGCGCTTGCGGGAACCGGGCTGCGGGGCCTGGCCGTAGTGCTGTGAGAGTCGTGTGGCTCGGCCTCGGGCGCCATGGTCCGAGGCACACGGCGCGTTACAAAATTCAATTCAGGTGAAACAGTACATCAAAGGATAAGGGTACATAAATAAAAGGTAAAATACGAGCATCAAGTCAAAAGAAATTATTCTTACTTAAAGTTAGACCTTGTTATTATAGCGAGCGAAGCAAGCAATTCGAAGTATTTCTAACGAGCCGTATAAGCAACACTGTAGAACTAAATGGAATTTATGGAAACCAATTTCTTTGAGTATTCAAATAGTAATCCAAATTTTCTGCTTCACACTACTATAATTTAGAAGTAAATTAAACACATTTGCCGAAAAAGAAAATCGCCAAGCTATCCTACAAGTCAAATAACAAAACAAAGTCGTCCGTAAATTCTTTGTCGGGCCCCACGTTGCGTGTCCGTTGTGACGTGAAACGAACAAGCGCGAACAACATGGATCTAAAAACGAGAAATAATTCACAATACTATCTCTAGGCGGGAATTAAACGTATTAACCGAAAAACAAGATCGCCTACGCTGTCTAGCTAAGCGAATAAAAAAAATGAATTTGTCCGCAAACTTTATTTTCGGGGCAACAATTTTTGAGGCCCCACTTGTGACGTGGGCAATTACCCCCGGGTCTTTCTACCACTGCCAAGGCCCGCTGCACCTCGGCCTTTTGCGCACATCACTTTCGCCCGGTCGCTCCGAATGGAACCGTCCCAGAGACTTCGCTTTCTCCCACTATTACACAACCTCCCGAAGCCCACCAGGACCCTTCGAGAGGCTACCTAAAACTCTAAAATTCAAGAGTCCTCAGAGTCCGCCAGGACACTCTCCAAGTCGACTCCACTAAGGTAGCAAAAATTGGGCGCCAAGCCTCCTCCGGAGGCCAATTCTCAAAATTTCCACAAAACTTTATAAATTCCGAAAGTCTACACGAAACACCTCTCGGCTGGCCCTTGGCTCGGGCAACGCACGCGCCAACTTCGGAGAGGGTGGGGAAGGGAACTTTATCAGACAAATTCTCGAGACACAATGGTTTACTCAACACGACTACTTTATCCTGTCTCTGAAATGGAAAGTTGACAGGGAGCAGGAAAAATTGTCGGACCGTAAATGAATTAACTCGACACTGGATTGATAAGAAAATAAAGCTTTACTCAAAAGAACCGAATTAAATGAAGGGGGTTTTCAAAGTAGCCTGTCCTATTTACAAAGGCGGTATAGTACCGACTCGATCGAAAATGGAGAGAGAACCTCTCTCAGAAAGGTACATAGCATTAAATGACATCAGAAAAGATTTAAGGGAAATAACGCAAGGTGAGGTAATAGGGAGGAACAAAATGAGGGAGGGGTCAAGTGTTTTCGATCGTTATCGAGCGTTTTTCGAGCGTTTTCACGCGTTTATCGAGCGTTTTCGAGCGTCATCGAGCGTTATTAAGCGTTTTTCGAACGTCCTCGAGCGTTATCGAGCATTTTTCGAGCGTATCTCGAGTGTTTTCGAGCGCTTTCGAGGGTTATCGAGCGATATCGACCTTCTTTCGAGCGTTTTCGTGCGTTTTTCGCCGGTTACCGGGGCGCCCAACCGCCGGGGAATTTTTTTTCGCGACTGCGACTTCTGCAGCTCGACGGGGAAGGTTCTTATCTTCAAATTGAGCGTTCGCGCAAGTGGATGCGATCTTTTTCAGATGAGATACACATTTTTGATGTTCGAAATCATTTTTGGCATTTTTTGACGTTTCTAGACAAATCTGGGCGTTTTTAAGCGTCTTTCGGTACTATTTAGTATTTCGCCGGTTACCGGGGCGCCCAACCGCCGGGGAATTTTTTTTCGCGACTGCGACTTCTGCAGCTGGACGGGGAAGATTCTTATCTTCAAATTGAGCGCTTGCGCGAGTGGTTGCAATCTTTTTCAGAGGAGATACGCGTTTTTGACGTTCGAAATCGTTTTTGGCGTTTCTAGACGTTTCAGAGCGTTTTTAAGCGGTTTTCGGTACTTAGGAGCGATCGCACTCACACAGTTTGGCTGCATGTGAGTTCCGTACGTGACACCGACGCGCGCCCCAAAGCTCCGCATCACGACGACTTCGAACAACAATGTACTTTAGTTTTTTTTCATCTTTTTCGATCTTTCGCCACTGATGCGATTCACATCGTTCATGACTCACGTGCTCGGTGTTTAACGATGTTATTGAAATTTCTTTAATTACCATTGTACCGTGAGCTGAAATATTTCAGGACAAATGTTCCGCGCTAAAGTTACTAATATACTGGACAAATACTTGAACCAGAGATTTTTAACTTCCGAGCTCATTCTCAAAATGATGATTATAATTAAAGTTTTTGCAATGAATGAGATAACGGTAGCAACATGGGTAACTAAATAATAATACTAACGGTAAGGATGATCGATACTGTTATCTTACGGTACGATTTTAATTAATTTCACATTAATGATTAAAATCACCTTAGGGATAGAGAAACAAATAATGAAAAGCTGAACCCATAATCAAATATTACATAACTGCAATGTATTTTATGCGATTGCTATGAACTGTAAAACGTGAGGAAAGAAATTTGCGTGAAAAACCGTACCCACCCTTCCCTTCCTTTAGAATTTGAACTTGCGACACGTACGTTACACCTGACGTCATACCGTCTACGTGAAGCTATGCGTTGTGTATCTTCTTCCATGTAGGTTTCATGTGTTCCCTATGAAACATTCATAATTTTTTTATTAATTTCCGTGTCTTATAAAAATTATATATAAAGTATAACTCAACTCTCGAGCACTCACATTGTAGTTTTGCCTGTATTTGCCTGTATGTAATAACATTTGCGAATATAATAAATAAGGTATGTGAAGGGCAAAGTCAATGAGGGCGCCACGACTGTTTTTCCCTTACCATCAAAAGCGAGCAGTGTCGGTAAGCGTAGGTAAGCCACCACCGTCAACTACAGCATGGTATTACCATCACGAATACGGGAGCCGCCAACGGCGACTGGTAGATGGCACGGCCATCGCGAGTGCGCGAGTCCCTACCATAAACTCGTTGCGCCACCCTTGGGGGCAAAACTAGAGTTCTAAAATTCTCGGTAACATTAAATTGGAGAAGGTAACTGTGAAACATACCGTAAGTTACCGGGAACATTGAGAATTTAAGAGAACGTTAATTTTGTTATTTATACTTTAGGTTTCTTCGTTTAAATAACTTTTTTNGGCTTTGGAGAAATTACCGATAAGTTACCGGGAATTTCTCTTCGTTTCTGACGTAACTTACTGGATTTAGAACTCTAGGCAAAACACGGTGAAAGCTAACGTACGAAACCAGAGGGCAGCACAGAATGCGATCGCGCGACCCTGCCCGTGAGCAATCTCCCAACTCATCTCTATTGGCAACACTGATCCGGTTTTAACCTGCTGTAAACCTAGTAAACTCCGATTAACTCGAGTTATGGTACCGGGCCGTGCTTCAACAAGAGAAATAACTGCGTTTAACTGTAACCGTTACAACAGATGTTATAATTACTTATTTTAAATAAGGAGAGCTAAGGCAGATCTGCTTGACCCATCTATTATCACGAAAACTTGAAGAATATTATATGGACCAAAACATGATATAACCTCAATTGGCTCTCCCTTCGGACGAACTTCAAATAGAAAAAGTACTTTTTTACATTATAATTTGAGCATCTTCACATTATTCTGGAAATATTAACAATATTAACCTTATGAAAAGAATTATGATGATTGAGTGCAAAAAATCTACATGTTTAAGAAATTGATTGACGGTTGAAAATCCCCTGCTGGAAAACCCATCTACATGTATATCGGTCAATGCATTTTTACAGCAACAGTTAAATAGAACCCTCACAATTGGCGTAAGTTCAGTAGTCACTGAATTTGCTACACAATCTGAAAAATTCATGTGTAATAACCTTCATATATATGTAGTATCTTGCTTTTCTTAGTTTTGCATCTGTGAAATGAATTTTTTATTGAAGTTTGTAATGAAATTCGATGAAAATGCATTCTCCTCAATATGGAAATGAATTTTTTTTATCATTATACCACCATTCATATTATCTAGCCCTTGAGAAATACTGAATGATACCCGTATCTTAATCCTTTAATTATGAAACACTACTATAGTGGCTTTTGCATGACTATCGTTTCTTTACGAAGCACCACTGAAGTGGCTTCCACTTGACTGACATGTTTTTTTGCAATGCCACTTTAGTGGCCCCCTTCATTCCCATGTATTTAAAGAGACAAATGAATATTGTATTCACATAAAATAGCACTCCATGGCTAAACTCTCCGTACAAATGGTACATCTCCATATGCGACTTCGTTATATGTAAAGTTAGCAAAATAGGTTATGCAAAGTATATGTTTCATTGAATTTTTAGTGAACTGAGTAACTAAATTGAATTTGTGTCAATTGTGAATAGTGCTACTGAATTCTCCTGGTTAAAGCATATTAACCCCTTGCCTTACGATTTAAATTCCAATAGCACGTGCCATAAACAACAAAAGTGTCGGTCATACATCAGGCCATTTTACGGTTTGGCTGAACGTTCAGCATCTCACACGTCTCTCATACGTTTTGTTTACGTTTGGCCCGATTGACATACCACATCTCTCACACGTTTTGTTCACATTTGGCCCGATTGTTATACCATGTCTCTCACATGATATTGTAAGTTAAGGGGTTAATAGATATATATTTTGCTGTACTTTGAAGGGAGGGTATTGGAAAGTAGTTGCATTGTTATTTTCCTGGAAATCTGCGACTAAAAATTGCTCATGTTTATAATTTGTCACAGTAGGGTAATCCCTTGAATGTTATTAAAAGTACAGCTAAGCTTGGTTTTCATTAGACTTATAGAACTAAACTCTAACTACATTTAACATTTTTTTAGGATCGCAAAGATGGCTCTACTTAGAAGTATTGGTGTGATAATCAATTCTTCGCTATCAACAATCTCATGCCATGGTGCTTGTGGTACTCTTAGTCGCTATAGTCATTACTTATGCAACACCTTGTCGTCAACGTTGCATCTTACGCAGTGTAAAACTTCCAACATGGTTCAACATAACGGTCTATTAAAACCAGTGTTGCCATTAGTGAATTCAAACTGTGGCATGAAAATTAAAGGGAAGCCAGAACTTCGTTGCAAGGATTGTTACTTTGTTATGAGGGATGCGAAGCTATACGTTATGTGCAGGACATACCCACGGCACAAGCAAATGCGTTTGTATCCTTCAGAGAGGAAAACCAGGATATTAACTTATGCGTGTCAAAGGCCTAAGCGAGAATGGTAGTAATAATTAACAATTCCTATGATTTTTCATATACAGTGCACACATCATGAGCAAAACCATTGCATTTGTTGACCGTGCTTTATGTATTGCAATAAAATGCCTGTAAATATCTCCAGTTAATTGATCCTGTATTCGGGGTGTTGTATTACTGCTAGATTATCTTTTATGTGACCGATCCGTGTTAACTCACATAAACAGTGGCGGCTAAAAGAAATCAGAGTAGAATACACATGCAATGTTTATACAAAAAGGAGTAGTATACATTTTAAAATGTTTCTCATAATTATTTAATATTAAGCTCTTTACTTGCTATACATTGAAACAAAATGGAGTGAAAGTATAAAACTATAAACACATAATGCATAGATATGTAGCATTTAAATAAAATTGTAACGTCACGATGTTTATGAAAGATTCAATGTTAAGGGCGATAATTTGCTTCAAATTTTAACTGAAGACAACTACATTATGGAAATATAATTTCTCATTTATAGTGTAGAAATACTTAGCAGAATACTATTCAATTTTGAAAAGACATTTTAATTTCAATATAGCGTAGTTTTTCGCGGTCATTTCGAGAATGCAGCGATTTACATATTTACGCAAAGTCCCAGTGAACACTGTTATATAACTGTTGGGTAAATGTTACGTTTTCCTAACATGTAACGTTTAACTACACGTTAAACTAACACGTTATGTAGCATAAAAGTAACATGAAAGTTAGATGTTAGTTATTATTTCCCACTCAGTAAGGTAACATGTTATATTAATGTTATGTTACTGTTATAATTTCCGTTACCTTAAAATTATATAATTTTTTATTTTTAATTATTTCTTGGTACTTGACAATAGTTAGATATTAAATGACAAATCAGACTTTCAATGAAATTATCTAATGATAAACTGTCTGATTTTACTTAAAGACAATTAGGATTTCATTCGACTAGTAAACAATGACTGATAATGTATATGCGCGTATGAATTAAAGTCACATTTTTTCATACGAGTAGTAAACAAAATATGACATATATTAATCTTGTGACATTTGACGATGAATTATGACAATGACGATGACGACGATGTAATAAAATAAATGACAGTTAGCACCAATGTAGTTCTGTTTTGTTACAAATATGTGCTACATATACATAATAATATTAGGACAGTAACATAATGTAAGATGAGAGTAACAAAGTAACGCTGCACTTATATAGATATGATAGTAACACATGTTATGTAACCTGTTAGCTCCATGTTACATAACTGTTAAGTTACTGCATTGTAACAAATGTCATGTAACCAGTTAGCTCTATGTTACGTAACCGTTAGGTTATTACATTGTAACAAACGTTATGTTATTTGTTAGCTTTAAGTTACGTAACTGTTATGTTTGGTGTTCAGTGGGGTAGTGTATAAGAGGTGCTAAAAATGTATACACACTTTGAATGATTTTTAATGAAAGTGTGTTATACATTTGGTGGAGCATCCTAGTACCAAAGAATACAGAAGTTTCCATAGAAGCCCAGTTCCCGTGTTGTGTTAGGTTGGAGATCGTTTGATTAGGACCAGCGATAACGGTTGCCTGAGGACATCGAACGGACCGGGCCTCGTAGATCGTTTGGGGACTCGTTTCCAGAAGGTTGAAACCAGCCAAAGACCTCGTCGAGTAAAGTAATAAAGATACTTTATGTTAAGACCATCTTCCTAATTCGCTGACAAGGAAACATTCCCAAGTGTCCGCCTCCGATCTTATTGATTTCCATATATGTTGAAGAACACAAAAATCTAAGAGATACGTGTTTTTTTATATCTGCAATGGTTCACATTTAAGGGGTGGAACAACCCCCCAAAGTTTGGCGAAAATTCGATTTTTATAACAATTTTCGTAGAAGCAATGGAGGGATTTCGACGAAACTTGATATAAACGTATTCTGTATAACGACGATGAAAACACAATATTGTCCAGCAATGCTACAACCCCTCATGGGGGTGAACTACCCTTTAGGCAACATTTTGTTCTAATATCTATTAAATAAGCACTCCTACTTAAGTTCCACTTACGCGATGTGCTTGCTCACAAAAAATGAAGAAATACGTGTTTTTTGCTTTTTGCCAATAAA